TCCTCTTCCAGCATCTCCACTTCCCTGCTCCGGCCTCCTGCCCTGGCCCCCACAACTTCCCAGCTGAACTTGACAGCCCATAGCTGAGTCTGTCTCTCCGTAGGTGTGAAGGAGCCCGTGGAGTTGGTGGGGAAGGTGCCAGGTCCAAAAGAGGCAGAGTTAAATGGGTGCCCTGGGTCAACAAGGGCCCAGCAAGAAGACGAGGCTCAGAAGCAGCACTTGGTCAGCCTGTGGGTGCAGTTCAGCCGCGTGATGGACACCCTGCTCTTCCGTCTCTACCTGCTCTTCATGGCCACCTCCATCATCACTGTCATCGTCCTCTGGAACACCTAGGCAGATGTCCATTTGTGAGATCCAGGCAAAAGCTCCTCTTGCCTCCACAAACCTCCAGAGAGCCAGGCTCTCATGCCTCTCCAAATCCCACCTTACAACCTTAGCAATCACCTTGTTTTCAATCCAGTCCTTTTGTGCAGTTTCAAACCAGATCTGGATGGTTTCCTATGCCCGCCTGAATCAGATCCTTGCACCTGCATGCCATCAGCTTCCCTCAGCCCTCCTGTGAGTCCTGCCTGCCTGGCTCCTCAGGATTCAGGTTCCTGGAATGCTTCCTTGATTGAATCTCCTCCAATAAACCCCTTTGCAAAAAGCATTCACTCCTCCCTGCATTATATGATAGCACTAAAAATCTTGGGGTTGAGAGTCTTCTTGCAGAAACTTCTCATTATCAAAGTAAGAAGGATTTTCTTGTTTTTAAAAAGTCTATCAGACAACATGTGAAAGTGCAAAGAGAAGAGAGATGGGGCCAAAATCTATTACCAGGAATTAAAATAGGGATTAACCTCCTAAATCCAGTTATCCTGGATTTAAGCTTCAGAAATTAATAATGTGCCAGAACCAGGCATCTCTTGTTTAAGAGTGAAGCCTTCTTGTCACAGCCTGATGTATGACTCACTCATGATTATACACTTAGAGTGTTAACATAATCCCAAATTACTGCTAACTGTCTGTGTTGCAGTTAGAGTTGATCTGCCCTTAATCATGCAAAGAAAAGAACATCAGGCCAAGGGAAGCACATTTGAAAATTGCATCTGCTTTACTTGGGAGTGACACAAATGCCCCCATATAAACTGGAAAATCCCCCTTCCTTGCACTTGCCTTATCATTTTGAAAGTCTTTGTCTCTTGGGGGAAGTGGAGGTCCCACTTCCACAAGAGCTGTGGCATGATTTGTTGGACACCCCAGGTTCAGAAAACCATAGATTTGAGAGCAACTTAATTACAAATTGAACACAATCTTTTATTTTTAGCAACCATTTCTTTTCCTTTCTTCAGTGTATTCTACTACTTTCTATCTGAAGCCTAAATTTCCCAGGTCGTAACAGGCTAGGAGTAAAAAGAGAGTCACAATATTGTTTACTAAACTATATTTCCCTGGTTCCTTCCCTCTGCTGCTCTTCCTCAAATTCCTTTACTTCCTCTTGTCATTGTAGACGCCCAAAGGGTGGCAAGGCCGCCAATGTCCACTAGAAGCACTGTGGCTGGTGGTGGGGGCCTGAAGTCCTACCCAGCTATTTGCTGCAGGAGCTTCTGTGTCCTCAGAGCCCAGGCCACTGCATCTGTATCCTGCAGCACAGATGTTCTCAGCTGGATGCTGAGTCACCAGGCCCAGCTGTTACTTGCTCTTTCCTTGCAGTCTCCTTCTGCTGGACTCGGGCAGAAGTCCACGGGAATCTGGGAGTACTAAGGCGGAAATACCCTGCTAACTCTGCACGACTCCTTTCACCCAGGCTCCTGGTCCTCCAGCTAAACTTGTGTCCCTTAATTCTCCTTTCTTTTCCCCTCTGCTTCCCTTCCCCCAGGAAGGGAAAGTCTTTGGCTCTTCAGTTTCTAAACTCTTGTCAAGCACTCCCCTCACCATCACCAGTCCGCCAGACATGTCTGAGGTCTAGCGTCTACACAGTCTTTGGCTCTTCAGTTTCTAAACTCTTGTCAAGCACTCCCCTCACCATCACCAGTCCGCCAGACATGTCTGAGGTCTAGCGTCTACACAGTCTAGGCTTAAATCAGGAGCCATGACCTTCACCTAAGTAAATTAGCCTATCTATTATATTATTATTTTGGATATCTGTTATTATTTTGGCAGTTCCTTAACTCACAGCTCTCTACAAAGTGGGCTTTGAGAAAGGACATAATATAGTAGTAATGAAAGTAACCAAACATTTATTAAGTTATTAATGTGTGTCAGGCACTCCTCTAAGTGCTTTATATGAATAAGCATATTCAACCCTTACAGTAACCCTATGAAGTAAGAACTACAAATCCACAAATCCTTGGAGCCAAATGTGTTTGGGAATTTGGAACTTTTCCAATTTTAAAAAGGTAGCAATCATACATGTACTGTATATGACTATCACCCCAAGTAGGGTACACAGTAGCACCCTCTAACACAATGCATACGTCTGCAGTGAAATCTGTGAATATTCACACTCGGCAGCAAAAACGAAATTATGAGTAGTCTCGCATCCGTTCAGGTCAGGTTGTGCCACCAAATAATTTGTGAAAAGTCATTTGGCTTTCAAAGCTCTTTAGGTTTTAGAACTGTGGTTTTGTATTACTTTCCACATTTATATATTCAAATAAATGAGATGAAATAAATTAAGCACGGAGAAGTGCAGTGACAGCCACTGAGTTTCCAGAGCTAGTCAGGTGACTAAGCTGCAGTCTGAACCAAGGCAGCTGGCTCTGGACATGGGACTCAGCCTCTGCTGCACGGCCCTCCGGACTGAGGAGGAGAACAAGACAGGTTCTCCAAGAGCGCCATGTAGAAACACCAATTCCAGTTCAAGTCTTCATCTACTAACATTGTAGGAATTACAACAGGAAGAGCAAGTCCCTGACCAGGGTCCCTAAGACAAACTTTCTTTTCCATTTTCCTTTACTGCCTCCCTCAGTCTTTTCTATTCCTCACCCCTTCCCTCCCACCTTCATCATATCATAACACCCAAGTTCACCCGCTGCACTTCCTCCACTGCTTTCTGGGGTATGTACTTCCCCAAATCTGATCCTCTGTATTCTCTGTGGATTTAGCTTTTTTGCTGCTGATATCTGTTGCCAGATACTTCAGATGTTCTACTCCTGTGCCCTATCCTGAAGAAGTCACCTCACCTGGAATCTCACCCTTGACTTTGCAGAGTAGCTCATTTACCCAGATTTTGACAAGTTCCAAAACTGTTGTAAGATCCATTTGCATCATTTTGTTGCTTCTGCCCATCTTCATGGTACATATTTCTCATTTATTTTCTTCATATTTTTTCAATAGAGGTACCAGGGATTGAACCCAGGATCTCGTGCATGCTAAGCATGCGCTCTACCACTGAGCTAAATCTGTCCCCTCAAACTTTTTTCATTACATAGTTTTATGTTTTATTTGAATAGAAGACATGCACTTTATCTTTTTTGACCTATGGATTAAGATGCTCTATCTCCTTTTAGTAAGAGAAGGCATGATATAATTATGGTGATTTTATTTTTTCCAAAAGCAAAATCTGAACCCGTGATCTTAACACACAGTAGAGAATCATAGAGAACCTCTGAAATCAGAGAGCTCCCAGAAAATTAACAAATGTGATTGTTGTCTTTCTGTTCCATCTATAACAGAATCATATGACAAGCACACTTTGTGCTAATGACTTTCCCCTTGTTACGTGGCAAACCCCTGAAAGGCTTTGGCTTTGCAAGGTAATTTATGACCTCGTTAGGAAAATCTGCTGACAGGCAACTGGTCCTGCCTGGGCCATCTTGCATTTGATGGTCTGTTTCTGCCAACAGCTCCTCACTTTGTCCATTCATCTGCAGTGCTACCCTGTGGTTCTTGCACACATTTTTGTTCACTTTCTTTTCTCTAAACCATTATAAGCAGCATTTCTCCATGTTTTCTACATGATTTGGGGGGGGGTCCATATCAACCGAACATTAAAATGTATTATCTCATTACCATCTGTGCCTCTCTCTCCTCTTCCTGCAGACCCATACTAGGATGTGAAGCCACAGACTTCATTTCAAGCCTATCATTTTCCTCCTCTACAATTTATGATTGTCCCTTCAATAAACTCTATTTGGTCATTCACCAGCACTGGTTCTTCTATATAGCAGGGAAAAAATAGTATAACATAGAGACTTTGGGATTTGACAGCAGTGGGTTCTAATTTGACTCCATTACTTGCTAGCTGGGCAAACTTGTGTAAGTGGCTTAACCTTACAAGTTTACATTTCTTCATTTGTGAAATGGAGCCAATAACACAGATTAAATCATTTTTAATATGCATTAAAAAACATTTATAGGTTTACAGAAACTAGAAAGTCCAATGTGACACACTAGACAGCATCTTTCTGTCATGCAGACTGACCCCCAGAGTGCAAAATCAACTTCTAGTGGGGAGGCACTAGACATAAAGAATTATAGACTTTCTAGCACAACCTCCATTTTTCAGATGAGAAAATGAAGTGGAGAAAAGTGAAGTGGTAAGTATGGTGTCACACTTCCAGAGAGTCCAGGCCTGTGAAAGCGGCAGCCAGAGGTGAGTGGTTGTCCTAGGCTCTTTTCCCAGGGCCTCTGGGGAGTCCCAGGACCCTCCCTCTCTTCTGCTCCAGGCACTCCAGCCAGTGACCCACCCTGCAGTCTGGACGTTTTGGCTGCCTCCAGGCTCCTAGATTCTTAGCTCTGGCCAGTAGCCTCTGTATGTGATTGCCAATCATCAGGGCTGCAAAACAATGGCCCTCACTTCCCCTCCCTCTTCCACCAGCTAATTCTGCCCTTGCCAGATTATAGCTATATTCCCAAATCTGATCCCTCAGGGTCCCAGATGAATGGGGCCACCAGAGGGCCATGCAGTGAGATCCCCCTTGGAATAAGCAAAGTTGAAAAGTGTTGGCATCTGACTTGCAAAACTACAGCTCCTATTCCCCTGTTTGCCTTCAGATCCAAACATGGTCTAGGTCCAAGGGTTTCACCTGTGGAAACCTAGGAGCCTAATAATCTAGTTCACAAGACTTCCCAGCTATGGAGTAATGAAAAGAGCAAGAAAGAACAATGGAACCAGACTGGCCTGGGTTTGAATCTGGATTCTACAAATTTCCACCTGGGGTGGACACTGACCAAGATTTTTTTAACCTCTCTGCACCTCAGTTTTCTAATCTGTAAAATGGGAGTAATAGTGCTGCCCTTTCAAAGCAGTTGTAAGGATATGAATACTGTAAGTAAAGCACATAACAGAGTATAGAGCATGCGGCACATACTTCATAAATGGTAGCTCTGGTTAGGCCATTCTGAGCCTA